ATTCTACCTTTTTCTCAGATTGAATAATACTGGAATTGATTTTCTTGTGTATATTGCCTTGTTCTGAAGTTTTTCTACGGTAGACGTCTATTTAAATTTGAAAATGCTAGCTGATATTACAGATAAATGCTGAAATTTCAGGGAGTTTACATAATGAAAGTTTGTTTCTCACTTAAGTGAAGTCCCAAAAGGTGGGGGAGGGAAAAACAGCTGTGTTCCACAGAACCATTCAGAGACTGTAGGTGTGGGGAACCACTCAGACTGCTTCAAAGCTCGGGGCATCTAAGGACACCTGAGGACGTGACCCCGCTGGTCTAGCGCAGGAGCACCGTGGGATACATTTATGTAACCATGAGTTAGCACAGGCAAATATGCATGTGCTGGTTACGGCACTATGTAAGAATATAAATAGTTGATAACAATCTATATAAAAATATACAATAAAGACACAGGCAGCTCTTGTGCTCTTGTGCTCTTTTGCTCTGCTCCATGCTGCCTTGTGTCGCTGCTGATGTCTTGCACACATGAGTTCTTTAACCTTGGGACCTCATCTGCAAAAAACACCCTTGGGCCCCCAAGCAGGCCAACACGTGGCATAGTCAGTAGGACATTGAGGTGAGTAGTCCCATGGTGGCTGTGGAAACAGTGCCCAAAGTTGAGGCAGAGCCCTAGGGAATGGCTGATACCCATGGCTACCTGTAGCCATTTTCTTGATGGCTTGGAAGGCCGTGGAGGCCTGGGAATCATTCCATCTGGAGCCCAGGGATGTCTTGGAAGCCTTGGAAGCGACAGACAGACAAATTCCTCCCCCTCACTGTGAAACGGCAGGGTGGGTGGCTTGGGTGTTTTTCACTCTCTCTGCTGTGTAAATCAAGAGGCAGATGGTCCTGTCTGGCAAGTAGATAGAGGAGGACCAGCTGCAGCAGATAGAGGAGGACCTCGAGCAATGGCTGGCTGCTGCAGAGCTCAGGTTGCGAAGTGGGTAGCACTGCCACCTCTAGAAATGTCTCCAGATGAGTAAGAAAACGCCCCAGAAAATCCCCTGGTTTTGTGTGTTAGGCTGTCTGTTCATGGCACACAAAACCGGGGGATTTTCCGGGCGTTTTCTTGGACATGAGGACTTAAGCATCTGGAGACATTTTTGTTGTTTTTGCTTTGGTTTGTTTTGTCTATGTTGTTGTTATTTTGTTATTGTTCTTTTATTCTCTTTAAAATAAAAATAAAAAATAAATCATTAGCAACTTTGAAAAAAAAAAGGTGGAGGTAAAGAAACCCCCAGCCCAGGGAGGAGGACCAGGAGGGCTGCCTACCTATACCCTGCATACAACGCGCAGGACCTATACAGCCACGAGCTGTGGGAGCTGGCAAAACCATTAAAGCAGAAGGTGGGTGAAACAGTGTCTATGTGGCTGCTATAGCTGTGGGATGACTGGGCTGATAATACGCATTTAAGTCCATAGGAGATGTCCCAAATAGCCAGCATAGTCAGCAACCCCTCTATGAGACTGGTTCTGCAGAACGTACAGAAGACAGCCCAAAAGCAGGTAGTCAGACTGTGATAAACTTGTTGATAGAGGTGGCTTACCTGGTTTGGGAGAATTCAGGTGACCTGCCAGAGCAAATCACTATCTAGATTTGATAGCTGTGCTATACGAAATGGACATGCAGCGGATGATGTTTGCATTGCAGTAACATAGCCCCGCTGATGGCATGCATGAAGGGCGTGATCCGAGTAAGCGGGCCAGCTGGCATGTTTGGGTCAGTGGTAGCCCTTTTATCCTGCTTTATACATCATCTGATCCACTATGCTACGGATGCCTTGGCCAGGCTGGCAGATGTGGAAGTGAAGCTCCAGGATAAGCAAGATCTGTAAAAACTGTATTGGAAAGGAGAAAAAGAAGAGGGGCCCCAGGTGAGTGGAGCCGTCCCCCCAAGGACAGGCTGTGGGGCCACTGAAGGTCAGTCAGTGCCAGATCTGAATGGACCTGCTGACTGCTGGTCTAGCCACAGATAAGCTAGACAGGCAGACTTTGGATGTGTTGCTGACTGTGTGGAGGCAGTTATGCCCCAAGCAGCAATACTGGCTGAGGCCAGGGCCAGAAGGCAAAAGCTGCCCTGGTGAAGCAGGAAGAAGTGACACTGGCCTCCTTCTACCCCAATTAGAAGGCAGGCTGTGGTACCTGGGTCTTGGGGATCCTGAGAGACTAGAAGCCGGTAGAACTATTTACTGGTCCCCCCCAAAATGTGCAGTATGTACTAGCACTGTTGGTTACTGGAGCTGAGTCAACCCTAATATATAGCAACCCAGACCATTTTACAGGACCTACTGCATGCACAAAAGGGTATGGAGGTCACTACATCATGTTCTGGAAGGTCCAGGTGACTTTGGGTATTTGGTGCCTGTCCCCAAGCCCATACGGTGTTTATGTCTCCTTGGTTGCTGAACACATACTGGTGGGGCGGGGTGGTGGTGGGGAGACTGACTGGTGCTTGGCTCAACACCACGCAGGGGGAATTCTGGTTGTGAATTCACACGGTGAAAGCCATAGTCTGAGGGCAACCGCACCGTGCACTGCTAACTCTCCCTCAGGGCAGGCAAGTTGTGTGCATTAAACAGCACTGACTGCCTGGAAGTCATGAGACAATGGGAAAGACTGTGTTGAAATTGGAAATACTGGCAAAAAAAGTTGGTAATACTCCTTGCATACTGGCCCATGCAGAAGCCAGATGGATCGTGGTGAAGGACTGTAATGTCTCACCCTGGCACTGGCAGTCAGGACCAATTTGCCTTCACCTAGGAAGGCACTCAATGAACTTCTACATGTTGCCACAAGGCTATTTGCATAGTCCAACTTCATGCCATGGTCTGGTGGCCCGGGACCATGTCACGGGAGCCAAGGCACACTCTGTGCCTCTGTCTCATTGTATTGATGATAGTATGTTAACCTCTGATTACCTTACAGATTTGAAAGTTGCCATGCACAATCTGAAGGAAGCTTTACTGGCATCAGGGTGGCCACAGACAAAAAAACATGGTCCAGGGACACAGCTTGTCTGTGAAATTCTTGAGTGTTATATGGTTGGGTAAGAACAGACCCATGACAGTATGCCAATTACAGGAATGTATAGGCTTGTTAGGTGTTTGGTGCACATATTGCACCTAGCTACCCTGCTGAGTTCTTTATACTGGATGATCCAGAAGGGTGCCACATGGGATTGGATAGAAGCAGAAGAAGCTGATTTTCAGGCTGTTGCATAGGTACAAGCCCTGTGAGTTATTGAACCTAACCTTCCATTTATCCTAACCATTGGTGTACATGATGATGGATATGGCTGAGCTCTATAACAAAGAAAGGGGAAGCAGAAGCACCCTGTTGGATTTTGGTCTCAGTTGTGGAAGGGGGCTGAAAGCTGGTGTTCCCTGATTGAGAAACAGCACTGCTGCATGCTGCTCTGCATGCCTGTGAGGAATCATAGGACAGAGGTCTGGGTATGGACATGAACAGCATGGCCCAAGAGTGGAGTGGCACAGACTCCCACTCTCAAGCATTGGAGAATGTATCTCCAACAGCAGGCCTCTTTCTTGGCTAGCCCATTGGCAGCCAAACTGCCACAGTCCCACACTGCAACAGTTTGGGACCAATGGTGTTCACAGCCCAGGAACCTATCCAGGAGGATGGACTATAGGACCTGACCCTAATCCCTATGCTGGAGGGAAGGAAGGACCTCTGGCTGATGCTGGATATGCTGATGGGTCTAGCCATGACTCAACCCCACAATGGACACAAGCTGCTGTCAGCCCAGTATGAAAGTACTCTGGACCTGGAAGAGGTAGGTCAAGCCAATTTGCAGAGTTGCAGACAGTATGAGTCCTTGTGATGCATGAAGAAGGCTCCCTACATGTGTGCATGGACAGTTGGGCCATCTTGAGGGGCCTGATGCTCTGGCTACTGGCTTGGGCAGTTTAGGACTAGTAGATAGGGCACTGTCCCTTGTGGGGTGCCAACCTATGGCAAGACTTAATGGGAATGTGGCCAAGATACTAACCATGTAGTGTATCATGTTTCAGGACATAAGCCCCTGCTCTCACTGGGAAATAACTTAGCAGATGCCTTGACCAGGAATTATAGTGGGTGACTGCTGTGTATGGTGTCTGACCAGAAAAATTGACTGCTGATGCTGCTAAAAATAGCATCTGACCAAAAAGTATTGACTGATGAGTATGAGATGCCACTAGGAATAGCATCTGACCAAGGGCAAGGACCATAAATTTAGCCCTCCAAATTGAAGCCCTTGCTCAACATATGGCCCAGGCCTTAAATGTTATGCACCAAGTTTTGATGTTGCTTATAGATGAAACTGTTCAAATGACAAAAGTAGTTTTGCAAAACCACATGGTTCTTGATTTGTTAACTACAGGTACTTGTGCCCTGTTACACATAGAACGTTACATTTACATACCCCCTACATTTGCGGGGGTGAGATGTGAGAAACCACTCAGACTGCTTCAAAGCTCAGGGGCATCTAAGGATAGCTGAGGATATGACCCTGCTTGTCTAGCACAGGTGCACAATGCAATACAGTTATGTAACAATGATTTAGCACAAGTAAGCACACATGGGCTGGTCATAGCAGTATATAAGAATGTAAATAGGTGATAACAACCTGTATAAAAAAATATACAATAAAAATGCAGGTAGCTCTTGAGCTCTTGCTTTATGCCCTTGTGCTCTTGCACTCTGCTCTGTTCCATGCTGCCTGCTCTTGTTGCTGATGTCTTGCATACATTCATTCTATAACCTTGGGACCTCATCCATGAAAATCTCCTTTGGGCTCCCAAGCAGGCTGATCCAGGTTAAAGGAGGGTCTGCCTCTTTTTCAGGTCAGCCTGTTCATCAACATCTACCCAAAAGATGGAGAAAGAGAAGGACCAAAGAGGATACACCAACCTTTTAATCCTCTAACTCAGAAATTACACACATCAGTTCTATCCATTTACTTTCACTGATGAGACCCAGTGCACCTAAAGGCCAGCTAGCTAATTAGAGAGCTTCATCCCTAAAACCACTCTACCTATGGGAGGAGAACATACACTTTTAAGGAACTGACCATCTCTGACATTGAACTTAAAAGTGGCATTGCTGGTATTATAGACAGCTAAGTTATTACTGTAGGCAGGCAGAGCTGGACCCTGCAGGAAGTCAGTGCAGAAGGTGGGAACATGGAGACCGTGTCTGAAGGTGCATCTGAAGAACAGCAAAGTCACAATGGCCGTATTTGTATATTTCCCTAAGGGGCAAACAGAAGTTTGATATTATTAGTATCAACGCTTTGAGATTTCCCATTATCTTATAGGGGTGGACCATCCTCTCCTATCCTATAAAACTAAGACTAAAGACAAGTGTGATTTTGCTCTATAAAACCTCCTTTGAAAGGTGGGCTCATTGGCAATTCCCTGAGATGCCTCCTGTCTCTCAGGAGCTATTCCTATTTCCCATTTGCACAATCCTTTTCTCCAATAAATTTTCCTGCTCTTAACCTGCATTGTTCCTTAGATTTCATTATTCAACTCTGGGGAACATGAACTCGGCATATTTGACATCTAGTATTTCCCCTGTATCACTGTTCCTCTCTAAGTAGAGTTATGCACTGTGAAGATATTAATTCTTTGGGCCCTTCTTATGCTAAGGATGGTGTTACAGGCTTTGAGGTTTGATAACAACAGGAGTATGTAGAAGCACTTCTAGCTTCTCTTTCTTGCCATCATATCTGGTAGTATAATGAAAAAGAACCATAGTGGCTCATTGGTTATTGGCAATGTGGAGAGACACAGATGACCTTCAGACCCTTATGTCCTCTCCAGACAACTAACCCTGGCTAAACTAGGAACTAAAATTCCATCAAAAGGATTTCAGGATGACAATAAAGCAACACTGCACATGATGCAAGGAAGCAAACAACAGTGCCAAGAGGAGAAAAAGTATTGGGAAAAGTAGTGTTGTCTTAAAAATAAACAAATAAATAAATAAATAAATAAGTATAAAAATTTTAAAACACACTTAATAATGTGGGCAAGGTGCCTCATTTCTTTGAGCATCTGCACTCTGCTCTTGAGTGCATCCTATATTTTCTTCTAATAAACATTTTTCATGTCTCTATAAGAAAAAAAATAGCCAAAACATGCCCCACCCAAATTTCACTTTTTACAGAGTAATTTTCAGTCATCTAAGTGATTTCTGTAGGTAGGTAAAGTTTTGGGGGTAATATCAAATTCTGCCATGTTTTTAATTTTAAAGACAAAAAATGATATAGAATTTCAAAACAAGATAATAGGAAACTAACAATTGTTATTACATTGCATATAGTTATCTTTAAGTAGTTGCTCAGATTACAAGATATAGGCATGCAAAGTTGATCAAACAATATAAAGAAAAAACATTTCTTTTAATGAGCTAATAGAAATTACTACTATAATTATCTTAGCTATCTTGTGTATATATACATATTTTTTTCTTTTTCCTTCCTTGTTTTCTCCTTTACCCCATCCCAGTTGTTCTTTCCTTTTGAGCAGTTTGTTTCCTTTTCACAATATCTATTGTACCTTTTAGATCTTATTTACTCTTTCAATTTCTTACACTAGGGAGACAATACAGTGCTTACACACGTCAGTCTGATTTATTTCACTTATGAGTAATGTCTCTAGTTACATCCATTTACCTATATAAAGCCCCAATTTATCATTCTTGGTAGCTGAGTAGTACTTCATTGTATAAAAATACATCTTTTTAAAACATTCCTCAGTTGATGGGCATTTGAGTTGTTTAATTTAGCATTTAAAAATTTTGCTGCTATAAACATGGGAGCACATATATTGCTGTGGTTTGATGTTTTCAATTCTTCTGGGAAAATACCCAGAAGGGGAATAACTGGGTTGAATGACACCCTGCTTGCTAGTATTTTATTGAGGATTTTTGCATCTATATTCATCAAGGAGATTGGTCTGTAGTTCTCTTTTTTGGTTGGGTCTTTCTCTGGTTTTGGTATCAGAGTAATGCTTGCTTCCAGAAGTGAGTTAGGGAGAATTACTTCCCCTTCAATTTCTTTTGTTTTTTTTTTTGTTTTGTTTTGTTTTGTTTTTTTCCGGGACCAGGAATCGAACTCATGACCTTGCGCTTGCCAGGCAGGCACTGTGCCCCTGAGCTAAATCCCCAGCCCCCGCTTCAATTTCATTAAATATTTTGAGGAGTACTGGCATTAAATCTTCTCTAAATTTGTTATAGAATTCAGCCATGAAGCCATCAGGACTTGGGCTTTTTTTGCTGGTAAGTTTTTAATTACATTTTCAATTTTATTAACTGATATTGGGTTATTCAGAATTTTTATAACTTGTTGGTTCAGCTTTGGTAATTCATATTTCTAGGAATCTATTCATTTCCTCTTTGTTTTCGATGCTATGAGAGTAAAGGTTTTCAAAGCAGGTATTGATGATTTTCAGAATTTTCACAGAATGTGTAGCGATTTCACCCTTTTCATTCCTTATTACATGAATTTCAATTTTTTTCTTTCCTTTTTTGGTAAGATTGGCTAGGGGTTTATAAGTTTTATTTATTCTTTCAAAGACCCAACTCTTTGATTCATCAATTCTTTGTATTGTTTTCTTAGTCTCAATTGCATTAATTTCTATTCAGATCTTTATACTTTCCTCCCTTTTATGGGCTTTGGGCTTGACTTGCTCTTCTTTTCTTAGAAGCTTGAGGTGCAGCATTAGGCTGTTTATTTGTGCTCATTCTGTTTTTTTATGTGATGATTTACCACTATATATTTCCCTTCTAGCATTGCTTTTATTGCATCCCACAGGTTCAGGTGAGTTGTATTTGCATTTTCATTTCATTGTAAATATTGTTTAATTTTTTCATTAATTTCATCTGTGACCCATTGGTTGTTCAGGAGGTTGTTATTTAATTTCCAAGTGTTTATGGAGTTTTTGGAGTTCCTTCTGTCATTAATTTCCAATTTCATCGCACTATGGTCAGATAATAAGCATGGATAATTTCAGTTTCATTGTCTTTACTTAAGCATGTTCTATGGGCTAGTGTATGGTCTGTTTTAGAGAATGTCCTGTATGCACCTGAGAAGAATGTGTATTCTTATATTGTTGAGTGGAACACTCTGTAAACATCTACTAAATCCATTTGTTCATATGATTGATTTAGTTCTGTTGTATCTTTGCTGATTTTTGGTTTAGTTGCCCTCTTTTTGACAATGGGACATGAAGCTCCCCCATTACAAGCGTGTTATTAGTTATTTGATTTTTTATGTCTTAAATATTTGTCTTATATTTTGGAGCTACCATATTTGGTGCATATATATTTATGATTGTTATTTCTTCCTCGTGAAGTTTTCCTCTAACAAGTATATAGTGACCTTCTTTATCTCTTTTGATCATTCTTGATTTGAAGTTCACGTTGTCTGCAAAGAGTACAGCTCATCCTGATTTTTTCAGGATTCCTGTTGTATGGAGTATTGTTTTTCATCTTTTGACTTTCAGTCTGTGAGTTTCTTTTTGAGTTAAATATGTTTCTTGTACACAGCATATTGCTGGATCTTACTTCTTCCACCATTTTGCCATTCTGCTTCTTTTGATTGGTGAATTGAGGGTATTTACATTGATCATTATAACTGATATGTATTGATTTATCTTTGTCATGTTGTTTTCCTGCTGTTTAGTATTTTATTTCTCCTTTAATCTTTAAAGATAGTTTTGCAGGCTACATCAATCTGCATTGAAAGTTGCTTTCTTTCAGGACTTGAAATACTTCACTCCAATCTCTTCTTGACTTGTGGGTTTGTATTGAGAAGTTAGCCATGATTCTAGTGAGCTTTCCTTTATAGGTGATCTGCTTTATTTTTTTCTATAATAGCTTTTTTATTCTGTTTTTCTACTGAATTTATGGGATTATTAAATATCTTGGTGTAGATTTACTTTGGTAATGGCTCTTTGAAGTTCTGTATGCCTCACTTACCTGTATGTCAGATTCTGTTCCCGGCTTGGGAAAATTTCTGATATTACTTCTACAGTCTTTTTATGCTATTTGTGTTGACTTGTCCTTTTTCTTTGACAACTGTCAGTCTTTCATTGTTTTTCTTTGCATCATCTTGCAGCAGTTGAATTGTTATTTCCTGCTTCCTTGTTATTTTTAAGAGGACTTTCCTTTTATGATCACTAGCTGCACTACTGCCATTGAGGTCTGAAAGTCTATCTTCATTTTCATTCAAATGATTTGCCAGCTTTCAATGGAATTTTTAATTTCTTGGATAGCTCTTTGAATCTAAATCTTTCCTATCTTATTCATGTAAGGTTTCCATTATTTTCCTATGCACCTCTATTTTTTGTCTATATCTTCTTTAGATGCTGAGAAATTCTTTAATTATGGTTGTCATTTCTTTTTTTACCTGAGAGATCATTTCTGATCTGATTTCCTCTATAGCCTCGAGGAGTTGTCTCTTTGCTTCAGTGGCTGCCTTTTCAGAAATTCCAGGTGTGTGTCTTCCAATTTCTTCCATATCAATGTTTCCTGGACTTGTTGTATGTGGGCTGAAGGTCTGAGATTGCATTTTGCTCATTTACTTTGTCACTTTTTATTTCAAAAAAATTATATTTGTTTCTGTGTTGATCCTGTGAGTTTTGATAGTAGGTAGCTATATAACTAGTATCAAGGCCTCTTTAGGAAAAATCTGTTCTTCAGGGATGTCTTCTGTGTATAGGAGATTCTTGGCTTGTGTCTGTCCCAAGATCCTACCTTCCCAATTGATTGAGAGTGGGATGTTGGCATTTTTGGCTCAGTCCCCAGTCTTTTGATGCAGGGCTGGGTTGAGGTTATTATTCCAGAACTTCCCAGTATTGTTACAGAAAGGAGAACTGCTGATTACAACAGATATGACATCCTAGCTAAAGTAGAGCAATTAGTAATAATGATAGCATCAAGCATAATTTATAATGTGACAAACTGGGGTAAGTATTGATTTTATACTTTAAAGAAGAGTAAAGTCCGTAGTTATATTACAGAACTGATCATAAATTAGAAGTGTGTATGCAAAGTGTTTCCCCTTGGTAGAGTGGATTTATGCTGTGATTGGGAAATATAGGGAAGGTGGTGTATAAGATAAAGATAACTGGAAAGGAAGTACAAGCAAGGCTGGAAGCAAGGCTGGAAAACAAAGCTTGTGATCACACAAGCTTTGGGAAACTGGATAAGCAGGCAGAAAAGAAAGAATGAAGGAATATTTGAGGGATTATCTGAACTTGGTCTCTGAACTTGGGACAGGAGATTAGAACAAGAAAAGAAACAAGGAAAAAAATTGATAAAAAAAAAAGAAAAGAATAAAGTAAAATGAAAAGAAAGTAAGATAAAAACAAAAATACAATGATATAAAATAAAATGAAATTTTATATATATATAAAAGAAATGGGGCAATCCTGCCCACTTGTTTCTATTTCTTGTCTTTGACCCTAAGCACAATACTGGTTCATCTAACTTTCCACTTGTTGGCTCATATTTCACACTTCTCCATCTCTCTAGTCTCACCTGTCCATCATGTGCATCCTAGTCCGGGTCCGTCTGTGTGGCTGTCATTCCCCATGGCCTGGTCCTGCAGGGTTGGGGGAGGGTCCAGCCACCTGGTTCCTTTGGTGGAGCCTGTTGTTGAGTCCCAGGTGCTTCTCATGCTGGCTGCTGGTCCCCAAATTCTGCCATTTTATAATTACTTTATAGTTGACAATTATATTAGACTAGGGGAAAATAATTGAAATATAGTTGAGATGTTATCACTTCCTCTGTTATGGTCAAATACACACTCATCAAAAATAATAATCATGTGTGTTGACATAGAATTGTCTCTGATATTGGTAAAGTTTTTAAAATAAATATGTAGCTGGGCATGGTGGCACATGCCTATAATCCTAGCACTCCGGAGGATGAGGCAGGAGGATCCTTGTGAGTTCGAGACCAGCCTGGGCTACAAAGTGAGCTCAAGGCCAACCTGAACTGCACAGGAAGACCCTGTCTCAAAAAGACAAAAGAAAAAAACATAAACAGTGTATGTAATATGTAAATGTTTATGTAAAAGAGGATATATATATATACATACACACATACATATATACATACATGCACTCATACTTGCTTGTTTAGGAAACCATATCTTTACCAATAAATAAGAAATAGGTAACAATAATTATAGTAGTTGTTTCTACAGGGGAGGAATGAGGGATCAAGAGAGTGTATACCAAATAGAGGGAGACAAATACACCCTTTGATGTTTGAATGTCCTACAGGAATGTATGTATGGGTATGTGAGTTTGTGTATTTGTGTGTGTGTTTACATGTGAAAAAGAGAAAGATGCGCTGTTCACTTAGTCCCACAACCCGCTGAGAATAGAGTTTCAAATTATGGATTAGAATTCAGTGAAGGTACACTTAGTAATTATCATTTGAAATTAAAGAAAAAGGAAAGCCAGGTGTTACAAGACCTATCCCTTATTCTTTTCAAAATTAATTTTTTCAAGCATTGACCAAACACACTGAGCAATACTCTATCCCATTTGAAGAACAGCTCTGCCTTCTTTTTTTTGTTTTGTTTTGTTATTTTTTTTTCCCCTCCGGTACGGGAACCGAACTCACAACCTTGCGCTTGCCAGGCAGGCGCTTTTGCTGCTGAGCTAAATCCCCAGCCCCAGCTCTGCCTTCTGAAGGTGATTCTCCCTCCAGGTGGTCACATCCCTAGAATAGGATCATGAAAAGTTTCCTTGACTTTTTTCAAGGGCCCATTGACAGAAAGGTATAGGATGAATGAAAGAAGGAGCAAAATATTCCTAGAAACATAACCATAAATGGTAAGCTTTAGAGAAGTACATTCTTATGAAACTATTAAGCGTATCTTTACAAATACGACTGGCTTAGATTCTGTTGTGAAGAGGATAGCTTATTTAAATCAAGTTTATATAGGTTGAAATGTCCTCTTGTCTGTCATTTCACGAGTAGGAATGAAAGGGAATGAAAGGGCACTCAGGAAATTATATTTATGTGAGACAAGTAAAAGCCTGTAGGCTATAACCTAATTTATTCAGACACTTCTGGTACAAAAAAAAAAGTGACCTATAAACTGTACTTTCCTGAAATTTCTAGGGAAATCAGGTCACTATTTTCAGCCTTTATTTTGTCTCCTGATCTCTTAGCATTAAGCTATGTCACAAATTTTCTTTTGATAAAGTTGATTAGCGAACTTGTAGGAGAAAACAGAAATTTAACTCAAAACCCACAGGAATTTGGAAAATGTCACTCTATAAAGAGTCCACTTATGTCCCCGGTATGTCACAGCTGTATTGCACCAAAATCACAAGTTATTATAGCAGTTATCATAATTTTCCTTCCTGTTAGGATGTTACAAAGAATCTAATAAAAATTTTAAAATTAATAAATAAATTAAAGTTGCCAAAACTAGCAAAAATAAAAGAACCTTTGAAACTCCTCTTTGATTTGTAGGGATTTCCTCTCGAGTGGAGGTTATAGTGGTTAATGGACCACCAGTTTGATCATTTACTTAAGATTGTTCATTCAAGGGCAACTGAGTGAGTGAGTGAACGTGGGTATTCAGTAGGATTGGTATCAGAATCAGCAAAGGATCGTGTTATAACTCTCTTCTCCCAAGAGAAAGAGAGTTCTTGTATTAAAACTTTAGGTGAGGATGGCAAAGAAGCCGAGCTCTGGATGAGGTCTAGGCAGGGCTGATCAGAATATTTTAATGCAAACTATTTTCCTGGCAAGACGGCCCTATATAGTTGAGTTCCACCCCAAATACATGCTCTAATATGTGTGTGTGTGTGAATTCTAAAATATATATGCTCTAACATTATATATAATATGCTCTAACACAGGGACATACACACACACATATATGCTCTAAAAAGATACTTCTTTGTCTAAAATTCTAGAACTGTACTGATTCTAAAATATAGTATAGAAATGAATGATACCTGTTTGCATAAACAAACAGATCTAGGATTAGAAGTACATCATAACTGGGAGATAACTCAAAATATACTTTCAGGCTACCTGAATCTTTCATAGTTCTAAATGTCAGACAAGAAATTACAGCTAGTTTAAGCAAACCATCATCTTATTAAAGAGTTTAAGTAGTTCTCAGAATCTCAGTGAGGGCCAGAGAAAAAATGTGGGTGCCCTGAGGCCAGGAGCCACATGTAATGGGATGACAGGATGGCTGCAGGGACACCCCATTGCTGCTCTCCCTGGGCGCAGGCAGGCCAGCTCTTGCCCCCAGGGTTGGACACTAGAAAGTAGTGTTAGAACCACTGACACCAGTCTCTGAAAGGTGGGGCTTCTCCTCCTTGCAATGATGGATTCTGTGAGGTGCCTCATGAACACCTTCGCATGGAAGACTCACTAACATCAGACTGATTTGTAGACCCTGGACCCCAGATCCTTAAATCTAAAATGTCCATAGAGTTTTTGACTTCCTCTTTGGAGAGCAAACTGAAACATTAGAAATTCTCCAAATATAAAATGGGGTCACATGGAATAAGTGGTAAAACACAGAGCAGTGTGAAGTGCTAACTTTGATGCCCTGGAGAATTTGGGTCACACCTTTCCAGGGGAGTTCATGACTCATTGGCAGACTCTTAAACTTGGAACATAGAGAATGGGAGGGGGGCAGATGGTTGTTTTCCCCTCCTTTCTGCCAGCGGGCTGCTTTGAAATGCAGTGGTTCATCTGGCCTTGCTGAACTCATCCATGGGATCGAGCGTGACGCTTCCACTTGCTATCAATGGTGGGATGGCACAAGCCACTTTCTCGTTGGCCCTGCCTTGCTTGCCTTTTCCTCACTCTTGCTTCCCTAGGATTGTGTTTCTACCCTAAGTGTAGCACTGTGCTTTCCCCTTAAGCTCTGGTTTCCAAGGGAACCTAGGCTGCAAAGGTATCGTATTACAGATGCAAGACTCTCTGCCTGGCAGCTGTGGCCAGCTCCATTTATTTTTCTTTGGAAACTGGTAAAGGCAGCTCATGCTGATTTGGAAGCCTGCATTTGCCATAACTGTTGCTTGTGCTAGAAATGATTTTTCTACTATCTCTAATTTATTTTGCCTTCTGAGGAAAAAAAGGAATTATTCGTGGGGGGATTGGGTTGTGAGACTGGAAGTAGATGAACTAACCCGCCAGCTCTGCCAGATTCACAAGTCTCCAGCTTCCATATCAAATAGTGCTGTAGCTATGAGAAATTTCTCTAGTTCCCTCAACAGGCCATCCTGTCGTGTTTCTTGGTGCTCTCCCTTGGGTTTCTTCTCTACTAAGCTGTTTTCTCTTCCCTTATTACCATAATGAATTGTATCTTCTAGAAAATTAAGCTTTGATGTCATCTCTTTAAGGAACACTTCCTAGGAATCCTTTACCTCAATTCTAATTCATGCCAAGCTGTACAAGCTTGTATATTTCTATGATACCCTGTGTATCATATTTATATGGGCCACACTGGACTTCAGCTGTGACCTATTTGCCTGTCTTCTCTGACAAGATAGTAAGTTTCCTAAGGGCAAGGACCATGTGTCATTTGGCTTTGTCACCCTAGCATTAAGCATTCTAACTAGCACTGAATAAAAAGCTATTAAATACATAAAGGATCAGGGAATAACTGATTGACCCATTCCAGGCTGGCCCCTGAACCACGTTGTGGCTGTACTTGGAAGTACAGTACCTGTATCCAAGTCTTTTACCAGGTAGAAAAGCTGCTCCATGCATCCAGCTACTTGCTAGGAGCTGTGGATAACTGCTCTGCACACTCTCAGCTGGTAAAAATTCCTGTAATGTTCCTAAGAAAGATAAATGAAAGGGTTCAGTATCATGGTTTTTTATTGGTTCCTAAGCAAATAAGTGAGGCTAACGAGAAATTCCTACATTAAAAAAAAATGATGAAATTAATTTCACGTAGGACCTGCCTAAAAAACCAGTATTTTTGTCATCTCTGGTCCACTTCACCAGTGGACAAAGATAGGTAGGACATTTAACTGCCTCCATATTTGGTGCTCTTCTATCCTCATTTCAAATACTTATCCAAACATGTCCTAATTTTTGGATTAGATAATATATACATTTATTTATTGATGAATCCATCTAATGAATATTGGCCAATGCCTGCAATAGGTGTGTTTGGGGAACAGGAGTGCAATAGTGAACAGAACAAAGATCATCCCACAGTGAGCTTGCATTCTAGTAGGAGAAGGAGTATAAATATTATAATCTGGATCCAGTAATTTCCTCATGAAACATTTACAGGGTGCTACTATGGACTAGGTGCTGGATAGCAGAGATACAGGGCTGGCTGGTGGAAGTTACTCTCTTGAAGGGAAAGGACATTAATGCAATCATCACACAAATAGGTAAAAAATATGATAAGTATGACAAAGAAATAATTAGAAGGGATCCAAATCTAGTAAAGGTAGAGGAAGCTAAAGAAATCTTCCCAGGAAGTGGCCTTTGAACTGTCTCTAGAAGTTTCCTGACTTATAAGGAGAAGGAAGAGCTAGAGGCTCATTCTCAGGAAAGCTGCTAACATATGCAAAGGGTGCTGATACATTCTGAGAGCTGCAAGAAGCCCTGGTGGCCGGAGAACCAGGAGAGAAGAGCAAAGCAGGAAAGGTGAGCAGAGACCATACTGTACTAGGTATTATAGGCAATCCCACATAGCAGGGAATAATTGATTACAGAACATTGCAGTTGCTAGTCTATTTTAGTTTACCTCCTAGTATAAGCAATTGAGGGTTTTTTTTAAAAAAAAAAAAACAAAACAAACTGCTTCTATTGTACAAAATTGACAGTATGAAAAACTATCCTAGTAGTTTTAACTAAAAAGAATTCTTAGATCTAGTGTAAAATTTTGGAGACTGATCCTGCTTAAGAGTGCAAATGCCAGCTGACTATATTTGAGATTCCAAATACAAACATAAGTATTTTTATTTATCTGCTGGGATCTTAATTGGTGTTCTTCTTTCTACTGTTACTGATATAACATAATAAGAACATTCTAATTTTCATGCATAAAAGTTGAAAAAGTTTTCATTTGCAAAAAAGCAACTATAGTCTGTGCTTTTTAAAACTGTTTCTCAGGTGACATCTGATGGATAAAAACTGAAATGCAGGGGTATATGCTGTAGCTTTTAAAAGGCGGGATTCTCAAATTTCATTGGTAGGAAGTGGAGCTGAACTGATTGAAGATTATTAATGTTGCTTATTTTTTATTTTAAATGGAAAAAACAATAACAAATTAACAACAAAGACAAAAACAAAACAACACAAAAACAATAAAAATGATACAGAATTTCAAAACAAGATTATAGGAAATTAACAATGGTTGTTATATTACATATTGTTATCTTCAATGAAGTTACTTAGATTACTAGATGTAAGAATACAAGATTGATCAAATAACTAAAGAGAATAAAAAATAATAAAAAACATTAGAAATGATACAGAGCTTCACTAAACAGACTGTAAGAATTCACCAATAGTTGTTATATTGCATATTGTTGTCTTCAAATTAGTTGTTAGTGTTGCTTATATTTTTGGCACTATATTATTCCCAGCAAGTAGGCATAACGGTGTGATGTTTAATGGAGAGAACACTGTAGTGCTCAAGTAGATTCAGCGGCCTTTAAGTCCTGCTCAAACTTGATTTTGTTTTGTTTTTTTAAGAGTTTCCAGGACTTTCTCGACAAGCCAGTGGTAGAAAGCTTGTGTAGCATTTGTGAGGCCCTGGATTCAATCCCCAGGAATGAATGCATGCCTGAATGAATGAATGAATGATGAATGAATGAAGGAATGAAGGAATGAATGAAAAGCTTCCAAGGCAAAGAAACACTTTAGCTGTAAGTAAACAAGAATCAGATTCTTACTGGACTTCTCAGCGGCAATACCAAATAGAAAAAACAAGTAAATAATATCTTCAGTGTTCTGACAGGAATTTTCTTCTTGCCTAGATGGAATCAAACTGTCCTTCTGGTCTGAACCAAATAAAAACATTTTCAGACATGCCTGAGTTTCAAAGTTAACTCTGCAAGAGTACTTTCTGAAAGAGTAATCTAAAATATCATTGTCATAAACCAAATTCTCATATGCTTTTGTTTATGGAATATGTGTATGTATTATAATAAATGTTTGATAGTCCTAGAATCCTAGCACTTGGACTGCTGAGGCAGGAGTAGTGTTGTAAGTTCAAGGCCAACCTAGGCTAATAGTGAATTGAAGGCCAGCCTGTACTACAAAGCAAGACCTTGTCTCAACCCATCCCTCAAAATTGATAGAGCATGTTCTTTACCATTTTTGTACTTTTTCCTGTAAATTTATGAATTTTTTTTTTTTTATGAACTGTAGACCAGCTTATCTATTTAAAATTTCTATTTTGGGCTTGGGATGTAGTTCAATGGCAGAGTGCTTAGGCAGCATGTGAGAGTCCTTGGATTCAATCACAATATCACAGAAAATAAATAAGCCCATAATCTCAGGAGCAACTCATTGTCCTTATAGAATTAAGGGCCAAGCCAAGTGGCAACTCACTAGATAATCTAGTCCATGCTAACCGGGCTAGTGGTACAGGTCTTCCAGCACTGCAGAGGCTGAGGCAGGAGGATCATGAGTTGGAGGCCAGCCTGGGCAACTTAGACACTGTCTCAAAAAATAAAAAGGGCTGTACATATAACTCAGTGGTTGGAGAGCTTATCTAGTAAGCCAGAGACTTTTCCATACTCAGTGCCAGAAAAGTACCACCACATTTTTAAAAGATTTATATTCATATTTTTGTTATATTATTTTAATGTTCAAAAACCGTAGCAGTGAACAGGCAGACTTAGTATTTTCTAGAATGGAGTTAGTTTCTGTTCACTTTTGGGTATTTTCTCTTGGGTTTTATTCTCACTATGTTTTCTCCCATGTTTGTTGTTTGTATGGATGAGAGCAACTGACTTTTTTCTCCCCAGGTGTGGTCTCACTAAGTTGCCAAGGCTGGCTTTAAACTTAGGATTCTGCCTTGGCCTCCCAAGTCTCTGAGATTAGGCATTTTCCATAGCAACCAGCGTGCAGGCAACTGACTTTTGCACACCAGTTTTGTTTTAATCTATCTCACAAGTTCTCATACTGCTTGCTATAGATTTATAACTGAGTTTCTTGAATCTTCCAGGTATAGAATTATCTGTAAATAGCATTATCTGTAAATACCTGTAAATTATCTGTAAATACCTGTCTTCCAGTGTTTACACCTCTTTTGTCTTTCTCTTGTCTGATTACATTGATTACATCTCTAGAACTCTGCTAAATAGTGGTAACTGTAGACATAACTGTCTGGCTGTTGATTTTCCTGCAAGTGCTTTTAGTGTTTTTTCACCGAGCATAACGTTAAGTCTTGGTAAATATTGATCTTTTTCATTTTATTAAGATTCTCAAAACTACAAGTATGGATATTGAAATTTATTAGATATCCCTTCAGCATATTTGGAGACAATCATACATGTATTTTTCTCTTTTAATCAATTTTATCAGGCCGGTTCAGTTGCAGAAAAGAGGAAATGATTTAAGGCAGGGAATTAACTGCTTACGAATCGGCCATGGGCTGGAAGCAGGCTGGCTAGGAATGACTGAGGGCCACATTGCAGACGTGGCTCACGCAGGGACCTACTCCCTCTGCTGGCCGTGTTAGGAAGTCTTGCTTCCAAACAACTTCTGAGCACAGCATCTTTATGGGCTCTGAGAACGAGACCCCGTCACAATTCTTAGCTTGGGTAATATGCTGTTTTCAGTTATTAATATATGTTTGCAGTACATAATGATTACATTCATTGGGGAGAGTCGGTGTATGTAAATAACATCTTTCTTTCTTTCATCTTTCTGTTTAAGAAAGAGCTACCCTATGTAGTTCAAGCTTGTCTTGAACACATTATGTAGCCCAAGCTTGTCTTGAACACATTATGTAGCTCAAGCTTGCCTTGAACTCGCGGTGATCCTCCTGCCTCAGGATCCTGAGTGCTGGGATTACAGGTGTGTACCACTATGCTTGGCTTCTTAATTTATTTTATTCTGCTTCGTCTCCTCTCCCTCCAGCTCTCTCCATCTTTAGGTCCCCCTCCCATTTGAAAAAGATCTCTCTTCCCGTATTGTCTATCTTTTATTTTGTCCTTTAAATTACTTATACTTTGGGTTTCATATATAAGCACACCTTCTTATCTGTCACCTCTGGATTAGGAAATAAGACCTGTCACCTCCAGAGTCTCTCTGTGCTTGTTACAAACTACCCCAGCAAAATAAAAGCCTCAGGAGCTACCTCTTGCCCTGTTTAGTTGAGTTCTAAAATCACTTTTTACACAAGCCCTCCATCAGACGGGCAAACATAATTCACACTGAGAGCCCTACCAGTAAGGCAGCCAGGGAAATAAAGATTCTGAGCTGACCCATTTCTACTCTGTCAAGACATCAGAGTCATGTACATTCCTTTACACAAAAGGCATTTAGTTCATCTCTAAGAGTTGCCAAAGTCCTAACAGTTTCAGCATTGCTGAATAGTCTAAGTTGCAAATCTCCTCTGAAATTTAAAGCAAACTCTTAGCCGTGGGCCCCTGTACAAATGAAAGTTAACACTTCCTACATGCAGTAGCATGAGATAAATATTACCATTCCAAAATGTACAGATAGGGGATACAAAGGAATGGGACCAAAGCAAGGCCAAACTCCAGCAGGGCAAACATTAAGTCCTGTAGTTCCGTGTGCAGTATCTGAGGCAATCTGTAGTAAGATATTAACTCCAA